CAGGATTCTTCATCGTTGAAGGTGCCCTCCGTACGAGAGGTCTTTCTATGCGGAGAACTCGGAAGGAGTTCTTCAGCAATCTCTTCCTGATGGCTTCTGCTCTCAGTCTCCAGTATGGGTTTTGTGAACAGGAAGAAAGTAGACTGGGCGTTCTTACCAATGGATACTGCGAGTACCTGGACAGTCCCATCCTCCTACAGTTGCCAGTGGTATTGACCATGTTCTTACTGTATGGTCTATCATGGCTGTTGCAGAGGATACTAGGCCGACGTCATGGGTTTGTATCTGCCGGACCGGTCCTGGCAAGTATCATCAAGCGGAAGAGGAGGCCGAGAAACGCCGAGGTCCGGATCCGAAGCTACGAAAGTCTATGGTCTCTTGGTACAGCCTCTTCATGACTACCTACATTCCCCAGGTGACAGTCATGTTGAAGGTCTTTATGGGTCGGTTCGATGTGAGGACGCTCTTGGCCGCCCTCACCCGTGAGCCGGAGGGGACAGTCACTTTCGAGGACCAATCCGATAAAGAGGAGACCTGGTTTGATTTCTTCGCAGATGGTGGTGACGGTTTCGATTCTAGTTATACGGTTGGACGCTTGATAGCTCAGCCGTACCTGGGGGTTGATGTGTTCAAGGATGACCATGTGGCTGAGAAGGTGAGTAAGCTCACTATCAGCGGTATGTCTATGAAAAGCATGGCTAGTTCGGGAGAAGGTAACAGCTCTGAGTCCCTCACACTGCAACGACATAACTCGATGCCTTTACTTGGGCATGTTGGGAATCGTGTGAGAACAGACAGTGTCTCTTCTGAGATGCACACTGTAGGCCTAGAAAGAATTCCGTCATCCGACAGTGGTACTGGCCACCGTCGAATCATGCTCCCTCGAGCCAATGTGGTCTTTCATGGTGGAGACCTCGCCTATCCGGTACCCAGTCATGAAGCTTTCGTTGACCGACTAATACGTCCACTCGAATGGGCACTGCCTCCTCATCAAGAGGCCCCCACTGGGGTGTCCAAGGCCTCGGCCATCGCTGATCAGCCACAGTTCTTTGCCATTCCTGGCAATCATGACTGGTGAGATATCAGTCTCCGTTTCCTCTATGTAGGGTTCACTGTGTAGGTACGATGGTCTGGAGGTCTATCTACATTGGTTCGTGGGCCAAGACCATCTAGCTGGGTGGAAGGTCCCTCAGAAGAGCACGTACTTTGCTGTGAAGCTATCCCATGGGTGGTGGATATGGGGCCTGGATCTCAGTCTGTCCTATGATCTAGACCGTCCACAATACGAGTATTTCTGTGGCCTTCTGGACTCCGCGGCAAGGTCGACACTGAAGACCGCGTGGTCGTCATCACCCATAGACCAAATTGGGAGTGTGATGTTGTTGAGCGCAGTGTGAGATGAGAAGCGATGACCATGGCTCAGCCCATGTGGCGTCCCCTCTCAGAGAACTGGCTACTTGGTCAGCGTCCTACTGGATAAGATCGGGGAGCCTCGTTTAGGCATGCGGCTAGCAGGGGACACTCATCACTATTCTCGATACATGCCTGCTGTACTACCACATCCTATTCTTGCTATATGCTCTGTATGAGCTCGAGTGTGATTTCATTTCAATTTCAGGATGGCAGCAAAGGAGTTCCACTGGTAACTTCAGGTGGAGCCGGTGCTTTCTTACATCCTACCCACTTCCCTCCGAAAGACATATTATGCAAAGAATCGGTCGACAAGCGAATCGCCAAGCTCAATGCTAACGAGTTCGCCTATGCTGCTACAGGATCTGGCCAGAAGATTCCTACGGCTCTCTCAGAGCCTCTCGGAACAGGGCAATAATGGGTTGTCGTTGATCTTATGCTCGTTACCATATTGTGAGTTCTTTTATATATAGCAGCACTACTTTCACCAGGCAGATATTAGCCAGTATGGGAGTATGGTTGTGCACTCAGCAGTTCTGAAATGAGTGGTCGGGCCCTGGTATATGTTCATGAAGAAATTCACATGTATAGTTGATGTGACTATTCTCAGTACTCCCCTGTGCTTGAGAAGGCATTGTATTTTCTCTATAACTCCTTCATTGTAGTATATCAGACATACCCGGCATGAACTTTCTGGTTCATGGAATAATGGAGTGCATGGCGACATTCATAGGTACTCTCGTGTTGAGTCGTATCCACCCGAGAATGTGAGTCGGCGCTTGACGTGGCTGAACCCCATACAGTTCCGCCGACGCAACTGGGGAGCGGATGTGGTATTAGGAATATGGTATTTAGCAATGGTAAGCCGGGAATAGTCTCATGGGTCAGCTTCAAATCGTGATCGTTGTCCGTCGTGTGGTTTTGAAGAAATTTATCGTGATTTCTCGGCTGCGCACATCTTCTTCGTTGCGAATCTATGGGAGTAAGTAGCGTTCTGGCTAACGGTAGGATTCTGCCATGTCGCTCATAGCTGATTCTCTCAGAGTATATCTGCTCTCCCCCTATGCGATGCTGGGAGGGTGTTAAGGCAACCTACTGCTTTTTTGAGTCTATATGAGTTCATCGGTCTCATGGTCGAGGCCTACGACAAAATCTTTCGCCAATCGTAATAGCTCTTGAACAGTTTCCATCACTCACACCCCCATCTGTGTCAGATATATATCTCTGATCGGGCAGATAATGTACATAACAATGTGCATCGGTTGTGCTGAAGAACAAATGGGGGAGGCCAAGAGGTATAAGGAGGCTAACGGAAATCTCTTGAGGAAGTTGGAGGAAACCCCTTCCCTCATCTAACAGGTTCATCGTTGGGTTGATCCATGGCCTATGCCATTCCCTTGCGGCTGTCTCTGCAGTATGTTTAGTGGAGTTGCTCTGCGAGTATCTATACACCGTGACTCCTACAGCCCCTTGTGGGGACAGCTTGGAGATCCTTGATACGACTGAGGCGATTATCGTATCGGTCTTGGGTCCTTTTTGGGTCAGCTCAGCGAGTACAGCCGTTTCATCTTGTTATTCCGTCACTCAGGCATCGATGTTCCCTACCCCAGCTTCTCTCAACTCTCTATTCATCTCAATCACTGATCTACCGAGCCATGCTTTCCATAATAGAGCCGGCGTCTGCGCCGCTTTACAGAACAACATGGTAAGGGCAAATCTCAGTCAGATGTGACACATGTCTCCATCTCAGCCCATCGACCGCTTCCAGTACCTCCGCTACATCGCCTCGGTATCGCCTTTCCTGTACATCATAATGACGCCTATTGCCTCTTTCATCTTCGGCGTCTACTTGCTCATTTCTCTTAACTATCTTGGCCAACACTGTACCGAGGCCTTCAGTTCCCTCCGTATAAACGACTACAAGCATTTCCTGCGTATGTGGATTAGTCCCGACACGGGTGATCTACACGTCTTTGTTATTGGCATTGACCATGTTGCTAGACATTGGGAGGCGGACCCCTATTGGGATGGCAAGCTCCTGCCCAAGGGTTCGCAGGTACTTCACGAGTACCACTCGTCTTCTTCATGTTGACACGTCTATCTGGCTGGTCCAGGTGCCGTCCTGGAAGTGGATCACACCGAGCAAGTATCGACCGAAGAGCGAGAGAAAAGCTGAGGAAGACGATCTCACCTTGTTGGCTCGTAGAGTGGAGCAGGGACTAGGCCCATCACCCTCGGTGAGCGTGCCTCGTTATCGCCCTCGTTCGGTTCGATCATAAACGAGTCGTTAGGACTATCGTAAGCCCCAACCAGATGGCCAACCTAAGCTCGTAGACTACTTCGTTGTTGAATCATCGGAGAAGCAGGCGGCTGCAATCAAACAGAAACAAGCGGACGATAAAGAAGCATCTCGTGAAGTGATTACAGAGGACTTCTCAAGGGAGGAGTCCACAACGTCGGAAGGTAGTTTGCTGACTAGCTTAGCTACGTACCTGACCGTGTATCTCGGGCTCGTGACTTAGCAGCATGTCCTCATCTCCAGGCACGGATTCTTCTATGAAGTCCTCGAACTGGCTATATCGCGTGGGAGCTGTTATCAAAAGGAGACTTACGACGTCGCCGACTGGGGATGACTTTAACTTGTGATTCTTCTATATGAAAACTGATTATCAACTTTTGAACCGATTTTTCCAATCCTACCTAACCTTATTTAATCCAAGGTTACACTGTCGCGTTGATCCTCTAACATTCGCGAGTGTTCTATGCGCGATGATGGTTGCTACTCAAGTTTCCCTGAATTCGTTCGTTCGTTGCTCATGTCATAGATTCTACGACCTTGCTCTGAGAGCAATACTCTCTATCAATGGATGCCTTCAGGTTGGAGCCTCCACTGGGCAAGTCGTACCAGGTGCATACTGTGCACCCACATACTATGTGGCACATACTATGCACCGCATAGGTCATCCCAGTTGGGGGGGTTATTGATCAGCAGAATATGCCGAAACCTCTCGGGATCAGCGCGCGGCTAGAAAGCGATCGCGTTGACCGCATCTATGTTTACTCATCTTATGTTGAAAATGAGAGATGAACTGATATCCGCAGGACCTACCGGTGGACCCGCTGCGAAGTTTCCGTACAGCGACGCTGCGAAGAAGCTCGGCATGCCTGTCGCTCTTGAGGGTGGGAGTGGCAACATCGAGCGCCTTGCAGTGTACAGTGCAACAAAAGCTCGTACATTGTTTGCGAGCTCTTGAGGGTCGAAGTCGGTTTCGATTTTCTGATGCTTGGGAGATCGTAATGACAACACTAATCTAGAAGTAATGTATTACTGTTGCTTCGACAAGCTACATTCTAGCTGCTAGAAAAGACTGATCGGATGTGTGAGGTTTGCGGTAGGGTCTGTTTGAGCTGATGCAGCTAAGAAAGTCTGGTATTTTAGCTGAGCTTGCGGCGTGAAGAGACCTATTGTAAAAGACATAAACCTTCCGTCTTCCTTAAGGCATGAGTTGTGGTTAATCCATGGGAAGCATAGCTTATTTGATGAACTGTACTAAGTATACATGGCCAGGCTTCCACACTTAACGTTCTACGTCGGAATCATTCCGGAGGTTCGCTCTGATCCACAGCTCGTGAACGAGACGGCTCAAATCCATAGCCGCTGAAATCTAACGGCAGAAATCCGTAACGATCCTGGAAACAGGGAGACCCTGTATTCACTCGTCGGGACTGAATCGTAATCTCTATGAGTAGAGATATCAATGACGAACAATGATATCATAGCACTCTTCCAGAAGTGAGCAATCAGTAGCCGGTGACCAGTACCGAGGTATGGGTGAATGAGTGTGAATGTCATCCTCGATAACTTTGGAGAAAAGTTATCCCAATCGGTGATATCGAGCTCGCTGACTCGGTCAGCCCCACAACATTACGAGACCAGTCTGCCAAACGCTGGGGATATGTCATTTTCTCCTTCGTACAAGTACAACGCAAGCGAACAATGGCACGATGGTTCTGTGGCTTGCCTCGACTGGATCTTCCATCTGTCTCCCGACACAATCTGCAGCTATTTCTGTCCTCATTGAAATCATCAGGTATAAAACTTTTGCGGCAAGATCTTTCTCGCGATGAAGTCAATTATCGCAGCGGCAACATTTGCTGAGGCTCTTGCTGGGCAGTGCACATCCAGCGATTATGATTTCTGGACTTCTTATGGGCAAACGTTTAGCGATTTCCTCACTGGCTGTGCCAAAAAGGAATGGGGAAATGCCGAGAAGACCGCGCAGTGTCTTCTGGATGACCCCATGAATAAGCTGTCGCAGCCTTGTGCCTCTTGTTTTGGCAAGTTCCAGAATTGTGCGAAAGGGAAATGCTGGTATACCTGTATGTGGAGCTCGACTTCGAGTTCCTGCTTGAGATGTATCGACAACTCGAAGTGTCCCGGTGAGTTGGCAACATGCAGTGGTTGCACTGTGGATGAACTCCCTCCGAACCCCAGCACGAGTATTAAGAGCCTACCTACTACTACAATGGCTCCTTCCACTAGCTCGACTACAATCAGTACCACTTCCACTAGTACAGCTACCACCAGCACGTTGTCAACTACCACGAGCATACCGCCAACTACCATTAGCATCCCGTCGACTACCACTAGTATGCCCTCGACCACTAGCACGCCGTCGACTATCACTATCACGCCGTCAACTACCACTAGCACGCCGTCAACTATCACTAGCACGCCGTCAACTATCACTAGCACGCCGTCAACTATCACTAGCACGCCGTCAACTACTACTAGCATGCCCTCGACTACTACTAGCATGCCCTCGACTACTACTAGCATGCCCTCGACTACTACTAACATGCCCTCGACTACTACTAGCATGCCCTCGACTATCACTAGCACGCCGTCAACTACTACTAGTAGTATGGCCTCGACTACCACTAGCATGGCCTCGACTACTACTTACTTGCCGTCAACTACTACTAGCATGCCATCCACTACTACTAGCATGCCGTCGAATACTTCTACTAGCATGGCCTCGACCACCAGTAGCATGGCCTCGACTACTACTAGCATGCCCTCGACTATCACTAACACGCCGTCAACTATCACTAGCACGCCGTCAACTATCACTAGCACGCCGTCAACTACTACTAGCATGGCCTCGACTACCACTAGCACGGCCTCGACGACTACTACCAGCATGGCCTCGACTATCACTAGCACGCCGTCAACTACTACTAGCATAGCCTCGACTACTACCAGCATGGACTCGACTACTACTAGCATGGCCTCGACTACTACTAGCATGCCTTCGACTACTACTAGCATGGCCTCGACTACTACTAGCATGGCCTCGACTATCACTAGCACGCCGTCAACTACTACTAGCATAGCCTCGACTACTACCAGCATGGACTCGACTACTACTAGCGTGGCCTCGACTACTACTAGTATGGCCTCGACTACTACCAGTATGCCTTCGACTACCTCTATAACCTTGCCGTCGACTACTTCTACTAGCATGTCGTCGACTACCAACACTAGCATGCCATCGACTACCACCACTAGCATGTCATCGACTACCACCACTAGCATGCCATCGACTACCACCACTAGCATGCCATCGACTACCACCACTAGCATGCCATCGACTACCACCACTAGCATGCCATCGACTATCACCACTAGCATGCCGTCGACTATCACCACTAGCATGCCATCGACTACCACCACTAGCATGCCATCGACTATCACCACTAGCATGCCATCGACTATCACCACTAGCATGTCTCCGACCACCACTACTAGCATGCCGTCGACTACCTCAACGACCACATTTTCTAGCAGTACCACCTCGAGCCAGACTAGTAGCTGTAGGAAAGCAGATGAGATCTGTGCTGAGTCGTATGTTGGATCCTACTGCAAGTACTGGATGGATACACCCACATGTTTCGGGAGCAACATCCCGTGTTCCTGTTCTGCCCAACATGGAAGTACAAGTACCACTAAGTCTGTGCTGAAATGTGATGCTGAGTGTGCCGCCGAACTCCCAGGTTCTTATTGTAAGTACTGGGCGAATCCTTCGGTCTGTTTTGGCTCAAGCAAGCTCTGTTCTTGCTAAATTGTCCAGTTTCGTCACCAGTAGGCGTATTGGTCACTTTTCCATGATCGTATTTTTCGTCCCTCGCCAGCCTTGTGAGCTGTTTGACTTCGCCCTCTCAACTCGATTAAGAGATGAGTCTTTCCCTCCAACTCTGCTGCTATTTGTTCAGTCAATGTGAGGTTAACAGTAGCAGGAGGAGGACTCAGCGATTTCTGCCGTGAATAAATCAACGAATGATCAGAACCCCAACTTGACAGAACGTGTTATTACGGAACGGTGAAGTTCGATAAGATTGTATCCCAGCGCTATCTGATTCACATTGATGTCTTTCGTAATTGAAAAATTCAGGATGACGATGTCTGACGGTTTGGATGACGTTGAACCGAGCGGCTGTTCAACACAACATAAGATGTGTAGAGGATCTATACCAGAAGTTGGGTCTGCGTGCGAAAGTAGCACGCAGACGCACAGCGGTTCATGTAGCCGCTCACTTCATGATGGGAAATGACCGGTTCTCCGTACTTTTCATTCTTCCGCCCATTGGCGAAGTATTTCATATCTCTTGCTCTCGGTAATAATAGATCTCGATGTGCCCTTTACATTCAAAATCAGACACACGCAACCGACACAGGTTGCGGCATGCAACTTGAGAAATAGTTCCGAGGGCTGTGGAACAATAGAAGAAGAATAGTTTGTTGACAGGGCGTGTTAAGAAACTTCACGCGTAAGTGCAGAACTACGGACCAACCTAGAGAGCCCTAAGGAAGTTCCTCATCGCACGCGAATAATACGAGTGAATACTCTCATCTCAGACTCGCCAGTATACGTGGGGGTTGTCTCGCAGCAAGTTGTCCCGATACACAAGATTATGACGCAAAGTAGACATAGCTATGTTCGAGCCCTATTCGCTTAGAACTAGTGATCAATATCACTTTTGTGAACGACGTTGCCAATATGAAGTTCGCTGTTGCAAGTGCCGCTACTTTGACCGTTGTTCTCGCTGGTCAGTGCACCAGTGAGGACCAAGCCTTCTGGACTTCCTATGGTCAGACGTTCAGCAACTTCCTTGCTGGGTGTGGGAAACAAGCCTGGGGTGATGCCAAGGGTACCACCAAATGTCTAGTGAATGACCCCATGAACAAACTCACTTCTTCTTGTGCCCAATGTTTTGGTGATTCTGTTGAATGCGGGAGAGGCTCATGTATGTTCAGCTGCATTTCTGGGCCCGCCACGAGCAAGTGTCTTAAGTGTATACATAAGTCTGACTGTGATGACAAACTTTATGCCTGCACTGGATACTCTGCTGACGAAATGCCGCCTGATCCGACCGGAACTGTTTCGACTTTGCCTGTGACTACTGCAGCACCGACTACTACCACTACCACCACTACCACCACTACCACCACTACCACCACTACCACCACTACCACCACTACCACCACTACCACCACAACCACCACTACCACTACTCCTAGCACTACTACTACTCCTAGCACGACTACCACCACTCCTAGCACTACTACTCCTACCACGACTACCACCACTCCTAGCACGACTACCACCACTCCTAGCACTACTTCTACTACCACAACCACCACTCCTAGCACTACTACCACAACTACCACAACTACCACACCAACTACTACAACTCCTTCTACCACGACCACTACTACCAGTGCCACTACGACTTTTCCCAGCACTACCACTACAACTACGTCTAGTACTACCACTACAACTACGTCTAGTACTACCACTACAACTACGTCTAGTACTACCGCTACAATTAGCCCGAGCGTTTCATCTACTACTAGCATTACTGCTACTACTTCTATCCCGAGCAGCACCACCGCTTCTCTGCAAGGGATGTGCAGCAGCAGCGATCACGATTTGTGGGCTTCTTATGGACAAGCTTACAGTAACTTCATCGCTTACTGTGGTCTCCAGTCGTTCGGTGATGCCAAGGCTAGTACTGCCTGTATTGAGAAGTCCGGGTTGTCCGATTCCTGTTCTAACTGCTTCGGTCAGTCGATTCAGTGTGGTCGTGACGTGTGTATGATGAGCTGCATTTCTGGCCCTGCTACTAAGAAGTGCTTGAACTGTATCGCGAAGACCAAGTGCAACCCTGATCTGTACAAGTGCACAGGTTATACAGTCAATGAGATGCCGCCTAACCCAACTGGTACCAGTCCTTTGCCCACCACTACCATTGCTCCTGTCACTACCACCGTCGCCCCCACTACTGAGTCGACTGTCACTACCACCGTCGCCCCCACTACTGAGTCGACTGTCACTACCACCGTCGCCCCCACTACTGAGTCGACTGTCACTACCACCGTCGCCCCCACTACTGAGTCGACTGTCACTACCACTGTCGCCCCCACTACTGAGTCGACTGTCACTACCACTGTCGCCCCCACTACTGAGTCGACTGTCACTACCACCGTCGCCCCCACTACTGAGTCGACTGTCACTACCACCGTCGCCCCCACTACTGAGTCGACTGTCACTACCACCGTCGCCCCCACTACTGAGTCGACTGTCACTACCACCGTCGCCCCCACTACGGAGTCAATTGCCACTACCACTGTCGCCCCCACTACGGAGTCAATTGCCACTACCACCGTCGCCCCCACTACTGAGTCGACTGCCACTACCAGTGTCGCTCCCACTACTGAGTCGACTGTCACTACCACTGTCGCTCCCACTACTGTCGGCCCGGTCGAAACCTCGACTACTGCTGCTCCTGCGCCAAAGCACAGCTGCGTTGAGGCCGACAAGATCTGTGCGCAGTCCTATGCGGGTTCGTACTGCAAGTATTGGATGGATGAGCCTACTTGTTTCGGTAGCGATATCGCTTGCTCTTGTTCTGACGACACCGTTAGTACTACCACACACTCCATTGCTCAATGTGATGCTGAGTGTGCTGCTGGATTCCCGGGATCTTATTGCAAGTACTGGGAGGAGCCTTCGGTCTGCTTCGGTTCAAACAAGCCTTGCTCTTGCTAAGGGTTTTACATTCGTCCGATATGAGCGTGTTGCACAATTTTCCTAAGTTGGATTTTCGTTCTTCCACATTCGTGGACTGTTTGAATGAGCCCATTCCTCTTATTAAGAGACTCTCACTTGGAGAGAAATCAGTTTTCCCATGATTTGTATATTGGAGTTCGTCAAGGAAGGAGGGGTTTGACATCTATGTCGGGTGGGGGATTACACCTATACAGTGCGTGCAGATCTCATGGCATTGGGTTATTGTTGTACGACCAGCAACACTGCCATCCGCGGTAGAAGATGTGATGGGCTGTCCTTGATAGGACTGGTTACTGTACTCGCATGTGGATGATTCACGGGGCCTATGCCCAGATCCTATATTGTGAAAAACAAGGATAGTCTGGGCTGCTCAGCCCGTTTTCGACAATCTGTGTAATATGGCAGAGACGTGTTGCATTGTTGTGGAAGAGACCGCATTAAATTGTTGTGGTAGGGTCTCTAGTGTAGAGACCGCATTCAAAGATTTTGGGGTGCTTCTCGGGTCCAACTGATAATTGACTCACCTGCATTGTTGGCACGGAATGGGGTCCGCTCTCGATCGATGTGCATGCTGTACCTCCTCCCGTTGAGTCTCTTCCAATGAATATCCGGTCCACTGGAGACCATACCACCACTCATTTGGATAGTTTGACAAACAGCCCACTGAGTTGAACTCCGTTCTCGTTGCTACGTTACTCAACTTCGTTGCTTGGAATTTTGGAGTTATCTTATTACTATCACAATTTCATCACATTCGCGGCCAATCGATTCGCACTAGAAACTCAATGCGTGACTTAATTGAGAGGAACATATTATTTGGCTCAGGATTAGCCTAAGAGCGTAAAGGAAGCGTAGAGCGCGGAATGATGTAAAGGTTTGTTCCGCCAGCACGAACGATGTGTTAATAGCTATAGTAGGATTCTCTATAAGCTTATAATTGTTTGGTACCTGACGAGCACATAATCAATCCAATGAGCGGAGCGAGACCCCCTTACAGTCCGAACACTAATGTGTATATGGACAGCAGGATGATCAGAATTTCTCCGGTGAAATGAACGACGCGTCCGGAGTAAATGGCACGCAGGCCAGCAGTATTGACGAAACAGGCCTTCCAGTAAAAGAAGAGAGGAAGTAACATAACCTGAAACACTAGAGTATGAAATCAAGAACAGATTTGAACATGAATTCCCCACGAGCGCTACTATCACTTCCTCAACGATAGACATTTATAATATAAATTTTATATACTTTATTATACGCTTATCACAAGCACAAATGCACGCCATTATATCTCTCTGAATGTGTCTTACACAGGGCATCCCGAGGATAGCTCCCAAAATAGATATCAGAGTCATAACGCCAGGAATGACAACAGCAAGAAGAGCGCATAATGCCACAAGAGCCGTTCGTATAGCATAGCATATCAGATGGCGCATTGGAGCATCCTCTGGGATAAGCCTCTCACAGTCCATAGCAACCGGAGTGAAGAGAGCGAGGAAATGAGTTGCACACAATACTAGAATACAGACGATGATAGCATAGCCAGCCCAGTTGAGTTTGCCAGTAGAGGTCGAGATGGCACTGACAATATCGCCATATTGGGCGATCCCGTCACCATAGCCCGCATAACCAGCAGCCATGATGCCTATGTAGACGGCGAATATTATAGCGAAAGCCCAAATGAGCGCTTTGCTGAATTTGCTAGGTTCCCCCACGCCATTGAGAACTGCGGACACCATAGTAGTGAGACCGAAAGATGTCATCAAAGTTGCCATAGCGCTACCAAGCTGGTCATTGAAGAGGTGATACTCTAGCGTGTCACCCTCGCTAACAGCATTCGTAGCACTGGCTATGATGATGACTATACAAGTGGCGATAATAGAAATGACGCCAACTGATGATAGCCAGCCGATTGCCTTCATCGATCGGATCCAGACGAAGGGGACCATAAGACATGCGTAAATGAGGACCCACCAGTCTTGCGTTAGAACAGGCCATAGCCGCATAGTGTTTTCAGCGAAGAGAATCAACATAATGACGCAAAGGCCAACCATAAAAACATCCATACAAATAACAACAGCCAGTTTGCCTGCTATCCCGAAGGTCCGCATTCCCACGTCTTGGAAGGAGGGGTACTCGCTACCTTTCTTTAGAGCTACACATGCATCGCATAGATGATGAGCCATCCACATAGATGCAAGACCAGCGACGAATAGAACAATAAAGCCTCCTATCCAGCCAGACTGTTGCATGACCTTGGGAAGGCCCAATACACCTACGCCTACACATGTAACCACCAAAGAGGCAGTTGCCCCGAGAACACCTGTGGAATCAGCCTGCATGAGGAATGAAGAACTAAATGCTCAAATCCCGTGCCCGAGTGTACTCCACGCAAGGCAGTCATATATAACTCATAGGATACTATCATGTAACATTCAACAGTGGCTTGCATTCAAAATGCATATCCCTAAGGGCAAACCTGCTGAGATTTGCGACTTCTTCTACGATCGTTTATTATCAGTACCTGTTGGCAGCTCTCCCTGGCGTGAATGCCTGCCTTTCCGATGAGAGCCTATCCAGACAATGCCGACTAGTTCGAGCCTCTGATGCTGCACCCACAACGACGTCGCCCTCGTCGCCTCCAGCAGCAAGCTTAGCTTAGTCCCTACGTTAGCAGTGGTGGAGACGATCGGTGACGGCCGGAATTCCAGACACCCGCAGCTCCAGAAGAAGGTGGCAACCTGCTACTGACCCGCGACATTCAGAGAAATCTCTACAGACGCCGGTGCGCCTGTGAAGCCGACGTCTAGCGTATTCCAGACCAACAGCAAGGACCTCATCAGAGAGAAAAGCACTGTGACTTTATCGAAGATAGTCGCGTTGGTAGAATTGACAATCGCATTCTCGACACACTGAGCTAGGAAATGCTGATCTTGCGCATATAGCCGGAGGGTCTACAGCGAAGACCTTCGACTCGAACATGCGAACTCCCCTATTACTACCAGAAAGAGCCACAAAGGCGCAGGTTCGACTCCCGCAGCCTCCGTTCTGATCGTTAAATCGCTAGAACTACAAGTTGCACTAATCCGCTGTCCCTGATTTCTCACCAAGGCCTTCCTCGTACTCCGAAGTTCCTCACCTGGGAAGTATTAATGTCGAATGTGGGAGATACCACGGCCAACACGAGCTACCTCATAAGGAGCAGCCAGAGGAAGAGCTGAAGTATTACAGATACGATTGCCTCTAATCAATACTGGGGACAATCATCTCACAAACCTTGCTAAATTGATAGGTAGAGTGTAGCCATCCACTGTTCACTCTCTTAAACACTGGAAACAAAGCAGCGCAAGGTGAAGCTGATATAATAATAGGTCCTATGGAGTAATGGTCCTATAACCTACGAGTTGTTTCTCAAGGGAGTGCCTTGAAAAAAGGAAGCCCTACCGTTCCTTCTTCAACGATCAACTCCTCATAACTTCCCATTTTTGAGGAGGGTGAGGAATTGGTAATGTATACCTCGAAAGGACCTGTCTCCCCACCGTTGAAGAAAACCGTCAAAATCACGAACCTGTCACGATGGATTGAACGATTCAGTCTTTGTCAATGACAGGTTGTCAACAAATTTGGAAACCACAGGAGATATCAAACAAGGGGTACGAACACACGCTTACTGCTTAGTTAGCAAGCTCGTCTGGGGTGCCTCATTGAAGCTGAACGTCGTTGACAACGGGAAGCAACCCGGGCGGTATGGTAAACAGGACAGCGGGCCCTGAATGCGGGATTCGGTCGGAAGACTAAACTCGAACCGGAAGCCCGCATGTCGGGTCGCCAAATCACAGGGTTGAGGCCCGCTCGAGGTCGACCTCCGCAGCTCGGCATACGAGCCGTCTTAGCCGAGTGATGGCTCCGTAATTTTCACGCAAAAATTGTTTCTAGAGCATACATAGGAGAGGCACCACATCGAGATCCCCGTGTTTTTGTGGGTATAGCCATCCGTTTATCTCTTGATTTGTACTTTCCTCGTGTTAGAACTCTCTTTAGTTGTGGAGAAATATTTCGTAGTACTCAAATAATCCGTCACGTAGAACAAAGCTCCGCTCACTCAACGACGAGTTCAACGCCGGACAGACGGCCACATGGTGGCACAAAAACGATGGTTCTTCTCTAACTTTCCGTCCCCAAGACCACGTATTACCGTGAAACTGGGTCAACTGGGGGTTTTCGGGCCGCCGAAACGATTGAGACTAGCCTTCTAGGGAAAAAGGCGATAAAGTCAAGGTGTACGAGTAGAAAAGTGGAAAACCTGCATTTCTATACCTTTTTATTTCCCAAAAAGGTGATAAATGAGAATATAACACAAATTTCAATTTTCAGAATATACATGATTTTCCTCCGAGGTAAACTTATCAAACGAATAAAAGCGAAAAAAACTTACGAAAAATATAAAAATACAATATAACGAATAGATGAAAATATATTAAAGCAAAGTATAAACGACCATATGCACCATGCAAATCACACAAAAAAACTGACAATAACGAACACGTCGTTCACATATATCCCCAACTCCTCCATAACACAACAGACGTATAAAGTCATTTAACCATGATAATAACATGTGCTCAAAAATCAACAGTAAAACCCAACCCGCTGAGAAGAACTAACAAAGACCAGCATGACTATTCCCAACACAATACTGCTCACAGAAAGTATTCGTCACTCTGTAGTATAACTCATGCATTGCGTGCTTACAGCAGCATACGAAACTAATTGAATCATGCAACCGATCACATACGACGATAATAATCACGGGGCTTCATTTTACAAACGAATAAGCGTCCAACAACTGGCATTCCTCAGGACGATAGTCTCTAAAATCATAGACAATTTCTTGCGTGATAAATCAGTATTGTACACGAGATGAAACACTCCAGCTGTCATCTTCATCCAAGCACCATACGGGACACACTCCGGAACCTGAAAACAACAACAAATAAAAACAAATCCATTTGCATTCCCAATATAACTCTAATGCCCTCAATATCGAATTCAGTTGACCAATTAAACTCCATTTCCTCTCATTCACGAACGATGCTCACATCACAACCTACAGTATTCTCCCACACCCCACTCACTTAGAGAGTTGAAACTTCTTCTTCACAGCCCTGAGTTGCGTCCCTGAATGGTCCTCATTGGTAGCTACTTGCAATAATGCACATAGCTCCTTCGCCACCACCTTCACGTCGTGCTCAGTGTTAGGACAATGTACGGCTACATGTGGTGGCCACGCTGTCGGCTTCCTCAACAACTTGTTGGATAAATACAAGGCGCCTGCCGCTAACTGACTTGCGGAATACCTCAGCATACTGTACCTGATCCGAATAGGAATAATCGATGATGTCGAAATTATATAATATTATATTAAAATCAGATAGATGCAAAAATATATTCCAGAAGCCACTGCATACCGCCAATATCGGAGTTTTCACCGAGTACTACGCCACTTCACGTGAAACAGGTGAAACTCCGGTATATACAGTAAAACGTACACAAAAGTAGCCATTCAATATAAAAAAGAGACAAACCAACTTACTCTGGCAATGCAAGCTCCAGACAATACTGGGATAAGAAGAAGTGCTTCTCATCGGCTTCCATGACCTTAGCATACCGCAACAGGAAGAACATCGGCGACGGGGTAGTCATACAGAACCTGAAGCGAACACCAAATTGGTGTCACCAATACAACACTAAAAGAGGGAAGAGACACTTACCCAAGCGTGTTGAGAATGTCAACTTCCATCTCCATCACTTCGTGACGTTGATAAGTCCTGTCGCATATACTGACAATGTCCTTCATCTCGGGAGGATATATATCTTCATATCTGACAAGAACACCATCTTCTTCTCATACCACTCCTCAACCAACTTCGACTCACTTAGAAGCAATCAATAAACAAGTAACACCAACCAACTGCAGTCGTGTACGTGGAAGATTAGGACACTGCTCAAGGTAGCGATCAATCAAGTTAACCTGAAAACACACAAAATCATCAACCAAGGGAGCATCATCGATAGCTACCGTTAAGTAGAGCGTCTCAGGAACCAACTTGAACTTCCAGTGGACCTCAACCAACCAATCGATCAGAACTGCACGCATACGCTGAGTGATATCATTCTGGGTTCTCTGCATGTAGTCGCTGGATTGCCTGTATCTGAACGAACGGAGAAGATACTTTCCTCACTGTGGAACGATAGAGTCGACCTACTTTTGTTCAACGCCATTCATATTGACAAAGATAGGGTTGACATATTCCGCCACGAACTGAGGGTCGCCGAGATCCTGAAAATCGTCCCTCACTGGAGGGATGAACTCCTGAGTGAACGTCACTTGACGATCCTCTGGGGGGATGGTGTCCTTCCAGTCAATCACTGGGCTGATGGACTCCATTCTAGCCGGTGTGGTGCCCTGCATGATAGTATCATCAAGATCGTCCCCTAATCGTGCCTTGCCTCGCGAGGCCGCGCCTGTTGTCATCCTGCAAAACCAACCAGAATCACCACCAAGACGAGACTCACCCGTGTGAGCAGGCAGAAAGTTCGAAGTGTTGCTGAGGTCCATGAACACCTCCCGTTTACGGGTTTCCATCACAGCATGACCCTCCTTCCCAATAGGGACGTTTTTAGACCGCTGAGAGTGCTGTGAACGGTTGCTAGTGAGCATAGTAGATAGAAGTTGTTTGTTAGAGTCGATATCGACCACTGATGCGAATCGCGCTCGCCCTCAAAAATCGATCATTCTTGCAAAGTGCATGTATGATGCAGAATGTCGTGAACAAACACTACGTTCCTTAATATAATTAATTACCCCATACTACCTTACGATTATTTAAGGGACAGTTTCACAATCCTATCGCATTCCTCAGACGTGAGGAAGTCGTCGAATATCATCAACAACGGCTCATTCAAGGGAAAGGACGGCTCGAAAGAATACGATTTCATCAGAAACACAACTAAATCAATTATGTAGAAGTTGCATAAAAGTACAGTGTGTGTTAATTTGATGCGCAAATATGTGTTATTTTCTGATATTAATTGCGAAGCGAGCGGAGCATATACCGCAACAACAGGCACTTTCTCGTTGTGCGTGCGTGCAGAATTATTCTGACTTAACTACGAAGCGTGTGTGCCGGGAACAGCACCACCACAGATGAGGGTCGAACCAGAGGGAGACACGAATTCAGTTACAGAGGGTTCTTCACCGTTCGAAGCATCACTGCCGTTGTTGGTCATAGCTTACGCAACTCCAATTGAAGGTACGGAGAACCGTAGAAGGTCAATTAGA